ATTTTTGTCCATGATAACAGCTTTGATTGAAATTCCAAAATATAATTTGCTAAAATATAGGTCGTTTTTTTTTTCTTTTTCCAATAGAGATGTGTATGAAATTTTTACAAATGAATATTAAAGTTTGTTTGTTTTTTTGAATTTCGCGTAAAGCTACAAGAGGGCTATCTGCGCTAGCCGTCCCTAATTTAGCAGTATAAGACTAGAGGGAAGGCAGCTAGTCATCACCACCCACTGCCAACTCTTGGGCTACTCTTTTACCAATGAATAGTGGGATTGACCATCACATTATAACGGCCCAACGGCTGAAAGGGCGAGCATGTTTGGTGGGATGGGGATTCGAATCCGCGACCCTCAGATAGCGAGTCAAGCACCCTAACCACCTGGCCATGCCAGGCTTTTCAGTAATAGCAGTCCATTCAATCAAGGTGAGAGGATATTCTTGTAGTAGAGCAGTAATCAGCCACCGTTAATTACCTTTTTGTCAAAAGAAAAATGATCCTACGAAACAATCTTTTATTTTCTGCATTTAACCATTCTGAATTCAGATGAATTGGAAAATAAGTACCAATCCTTCACCAATTAATTTATTGTCCAAATATAGGTTATGTATCCTTTCATAGTTAAGTCTTATTTACAAAATATAAGTTGTACCAAGCTAGATAACCAAATGGCTAGATCAGTAATCAAGCACAGTTAATAAAGTTCATTTCTAAGAGTAACAACTGACCTCTGCGGGATAATCTTGTGTCTGGGTCAGTGTCTACAAAAAGCTTCATGTGGAAGAGATCACGAATCTTGGGAAAATAAAACACAAGAATTCCTTCCAGGAGAACAACATCAGCTGGATAGATTGTCATCACCTCATCTTTTTTCCTAAACCAAAAAAATAAACAAGAATGAACACTTTTAAAGTAATGTAACATTAGTCAAAAATAACCCAAGTATATATATATCAATATTCAATAAAAATTTATTAGGTAATAATATTATAAATTAAGCACTAAACTTGGTTTTAAATTATATTTCCTTTGTGACGTTTCTTATTATCAATAAACTTATACGTGGGTGAAAGAATAAACCACCTGAACTTTATATGACAATAGTAACTGACACCACAATCTATTAAAGGAAGTAAAGAAAAATAAGCGCATGTGCCCAACAAAACACATTTTAAACAGTACAATGAAACTGCAATAGACAGTCTCAAAGAATTTTCTCTTAACTCTTTCAATACATGTTCAGTCCCATGAACCAACCAAATGACCATTTTTATTTGTATATAGTTTTTAATATTATTACTTTTAATACAATATGTGTATCTTCACAAAATCTGACAGACTTTTATAAAACATTACAAGTCACTTGTACACAAAAAATTAGTTTTTTAATGAAGTATTTTTACTTACAATTTGTCCATGAATAAATCAAACCTTTTGACTAGTCTAAGAGCAAAGTAATTTTTATGTTAAGATTAAAAATACTTTTCTTTGTCTCAAAATTCTCAAACTTTATTTGTGTAATTGCTAAAACCTCTTAAGCAAATATAACTTTTTTCATAGTAAAATTTATGTTTCATCTGTTATTACCTCTACCCTAACATAGCATTTTATTCTTAAGCCAGTAGACAAATCATCAAAGTATAATTAAAAAATGTAAAATCAGAAATAAAATGAGCAGCTGTGACCCCTTTTTTTTTCTTGATTATTGTTTATTAAATTTCAAAGTATTTCTCTTGACAGTTTCAACTGCTAATCATTTCACATTATTTTATGTGTTTATTTTACTGTCAATGACTGAAGTAGAAACCCACTGAAAATAAAGTAACAAGTCATTAGACTGTTTACGTGACACTATAATACAATACACTATAATTCGAAAGCAACAAAGCACGTGTGAAGAAATAGCCACCTTTATCCCTGCTTAGAGAATAGAATGTCTAACCCTCTCCACACAAGTACTCCTTTAAACACTTTTCTGCCCAAGTCACCATGTTACATTTAAAATTAAATTAAACACCTTTACTTTCAATGTTCATGAATTAAGTTGACAATATAATGTATGTTGGGATTAAAAGTCTTATGTTATCAAGTTTTAAGTCCTTTATTTAAAAAAAACCTTTAAAAACTACTTAAAACTTCAAATGTATTGACACATGACCAATGAGCTACGAAAATTCACTACTTTGGCATTCTGTATCTTTAAAAATACAATGGCAGTTGTGTAGATGTACATCTAAGCTATATGATGCTTACTTGATCTTTTGACACGTACATTTCTGAAGGAATGCAGAACAAACAAGTAATAAATTTTTTCAACCCCTGATAGGTGTCATGTCCACATTCAACAAATTTGTTTGAGCTATATAGCCTACATGTAGAGGTTACCTACACATGTATATAGTCATTAGAAAGAGTTCATTTTACACTATAATCTAACAATGGTAATTTTGGAATTGGCACGTAATTGAAGTCTTGAAGTCATGGAGTACATGTAACTGACTGCAGTATTGTTGGCTGCTTGATCAACTATAGCATTTATTTGTTGTTTCTTACCTAATTATGTTATAGTTCGAAATACAGTTAAATTGTATTTAGGTCTTACTTTTATATTTTAGTTAATTATGTAATATTTATGTTTTAAAATGCACAATTAAAAGGTTTAAACATTTTAAAAATATACATCATACTTTGTATCAGTTCTCATGGCTTACGATATTACGATGAATAATAAGTGGTAAAGGAAAATAAAACAAAAAATTATCTATCCATGAAAAGGAAAAGACCTGAAATTATGAATTTAACCAAATGAAAATCTTTAAAGATATTCTACAAAAAAAGTTAATAGGTATGTATTTTTTCCTATTTCCTAGTTTTAATCATTTCATTGCATTGTACGTTGATGATAATAGCTAGAATCAGTGATATGGCAGAGAAAACGAAAAATGAAATATAAACATTAAGCTTAAAAAACTTTTCATATTCATTTAGGATGTTCTAGAGATTATGCAAATGAAATATGAAAACTATAAGATGAAGAAAAGTATTTTCATACTTAAAATGAAGATCACTTTGTATTCAATTTGTTAATAGTTTGAATGCAAGTAACTACAACAGACAAATAACATTTTAGGAAAAATGCTTAAATAAAATAATGTCATTCTTTGTGTACAAGATACTTACAATCTTTAACAAAATCTTACAAGAAATCTCAGAGTTACTGTATGTATTCTTGCACAAATGAAATTTGCAATACGTTTTTCACAAATTACATAAGCCCA